CTGATTTCCGGACAAGATAAACTGCACCTGATCCATCTGACCTTACTGTGTGTGCTTGCAGTCTTTCAGATTTGTAGTAATTGCAAAAATTTCAAAGTAGTTTCTAAACGCAATAATTTCAATCCAAATGTGTTGGCAAGATCTTCTGAAGGCGTAAGTTTTGCTTCTGATGTGTCGCCAAAGTTCTTTTGATATTCACCCACTTTCTGGGCCCTGGTGTATGACGGAGGTTCATTTTGTATCCGGTGTATGCCGGAGGTTCAGTACGCCAGGGATAAAAGTTTCCAATATGCTTGCTAAAAACGAAAGTGTAACCCTCACCTGGCTCACCAATGCCCCATGATCAACACAGGCACACCCACTTTTTGATCAATGTGGCTGATGCCTTAAGATCTTCACAAACACACGTGCTTTATGATCAATATAGCCAATGCCCAATGGTCAACACTGATGCACACTTTTGCGATCAAAGTAGCCAATGCCTAATGATCAACACTGATCTGATGTCTGATGATGAACACTGAGGCAGACACTTGACAATCAATGTGGCATAACATTCAACATTGCAACATAATGATTTTTTACAACAAAAAATAACACAAAATATGGTAACACTACATAAGAACACAACACATTGCAACACAAAATATCACTGCATAACAGCACTGCACTCATCACAACATATCACTACACAACATATTATAACACTAAATATTACAACACAACATAATGTAACAACATAACATAGCTCCACACTGTAACATAACATAACATGACACATACCTAGTTATGACATAACCCAATACATTAAAACAAAACTAATTGTGATATTACACTATACATTGTAATATAACATGGAACAACAAAACCAATCATACCACAACATATCCTAATAAATACATTATTAGACATAATAGCTCAACCCAGCACATTATAGCATCAAAGAGTATACCTAACACAATCAATTATGATACAACACATTGTAACACACAACCATCAACATCAGATCAATTATAACAACCTAATATAATAGAATACATCATAAAATAAAAAGACAAATTATAACACAACAGAACACAGGACAACAGAACATAATATAACATAACATATTATGTTGCATTATAATGTGTTGGGTTATATTGTGACATATTATCATGTGCTATGTTATGATGAGTTATGTTATGTTGTGATACTGTGCTATGTTATAATGTGTTATGTTGTTATACTGTGCTATGTTATAATGTGGTATGTTGTTGTACTGTGCTATGTTATTATGTGTTATGTTATGTTATGTTATGTCCATATTATGATGTGTTTTGTTGTTATACTGTGCTATGTTATGGTGTGTTATGTTGGTATACTGTGTTATGTTATAATGTGGTATGTTGTTGTATTGTGCTATGTTATAATGAGTTATGTTGTTATACTGTGCTATGTTATGATGTGTTATGTTGTTATAATGAGTTATGTTATAATGTGGTATGCTATGTTATACTGTGCTATCTTATGATATATTATGTTATTTTGATATACTTTGCTATGTTATGATGTGTTATGCTGTTACACTGTGCCATCTTATGATGTGTTATGTTGTTATACTGTGCTATCTTATGATGTATTATGTTATGTTAATATACTTTGCTATGTTATGATGTGTTATGCTGTTATACTGTGCCATCTTATGATGTGTTATGGTGTTATACTGTGCTATCTTATGATGTATTATGTTATGTTAATATACTTAGCTATGTTATGATGTGTTATGCTGTTACACTGTGCCATCTTATGAAGTGTTATGTTATGTTGTTATGCTGGGCTATGTTATGATACGTTATAATTTTTGTTATGTTATGTGTGTTATATTGTATAGTTACATGTTGAATTATAATGGTTTATATGTTATGTTATGCTATGATGTGTTAGAATGTGTTGTGCTATGTTATGCTGTCATAATTTTTCTGTTGTGTTATGTTGTGTGATAATGTATTGGGTTTTGTTATATTGTGTTACAATGTGCTGTGTTATTTTATGCTACAATTTTTATGTTATTATGCATTGGGTAAAATGATATATGGTGTTATAATGGGCTACAATGTGTTGTGTTATGATCTGTTATATTGTCATGTAATGTGTTTTGTTGTTTTATTTTGTGTCATAATGTGTTGTATAATGTATAACATAACATTACTCATTGTAACACAACATAACAACCAGGTCTCACTCTATAAACACAACATTATGATGCAACAAGACACATGATAATTCATTAAAACGCATTTGAAAGCTTTTGAACAGATTTGAACTCGTTAAAACATGCTAGGATGCATTAGAACACATTAGAGCATGTTAAAACACACTACGCCTCATTATAACGCAACAGAAGCCACGTTCTTATGCATTCTGCATTAGAACACAATAAAAGCTATTAGAATGCAGTGTAACACATTAGAACACACTAGATCGCATTAGAAGGCACAAGATCCTATTAGAACGCACTAGATGGCATTTATAAGGAACAAAATTGCATTAGAAGGCACAAGATCGCATTAGAAGGCACTAGATCGCATTTATAAGGAATGAGATCACATTGGAAGGCACTAGATCACATTTATAAAAAACAAGATCGCTTTAGAAGGCACTAAATTGCATTTATAAGGAACAAGATCGCATTAGAAGGCACAAGATTGCATTGGAAGGCACAAGATTGCATTGGAAGGCACAAGATTGCATTGGAAGGCACAAGATTGCATTGGAAGGCACAAGATCGCATTGGAAGGCACAAGGTCGCATTGGAAGGCACAAGATCGCATTGGAAGGCACAAGATCGCATTAGAAGGCACAAGATCTCATCAGAAGGCACTAGATTATCTCATTAGAAACACATTAGTATGCACTAAAATGCTCAAAACCAGATGCAGACGTATGCCAAAACAAGCCAGATGCGTATGTATGTCGGGCATGTATGCTAATAACATTATTTTAGCTCCTTGTATGCCAAGTTGTATGCCAGTACAAGGGCTTGGAGCCTCGTGTATGCCGGATTAATACGCGAAAAACGGCACCATCCTGGGTATGGCCCCGACTCTGCTTGCACCCTCTGCACCCTGGGTCTTGGCAAAGCTGCAAAGGCCCAAAGGGTGCCCAGTTTGGCGGTTTTGGTGGGCTCCCCTCAGGCCCCTCTTGGGTGAAGGTAGTGTCGACTGTTGTCATAGTGACAGGAGACAGGACTTCTGATGACCAAACTTAAAAATTTAAATAATTTAATTTTTTATCAAAGTCAAATAATCACCTTAAATTCATACCAGTATATTAAATGTAAAGTTAACTTTGAATAAATAATTTAAAATTTAATTATTTTTTAAGATTTTATACACATAGAATGAAGCATAACTTTTGAAGGGACTAAGTGTTGATTGTCAAAATAGCAAGTTAGAGCAAGTTACCATTTTCTTGGCAGAACATTTTGGTCAGCAGAGCAATACAACATGACATACATGTATTATGACATATACAATAAAACATACACATTTTACTTTAAAATTCTTCATTTCAGGTGCTGAATTTAACTTGTAACAAAGCATGAAAATATGGGGATACAACTTTTATGATAAATTACTAAAATTAGTAGTCTAAGCACACGTCTAGTTCTTTACTTTATAACAATCAATGTCAATAAACTTTTGTAAACCACACATTCAACTGGACCAAGTGGATCAATCGGTTCTGAAAGTGGTTTTGAGCAATGAATATAGCCAAATTATAATTTATTTAACAATTATGTATGATAATAGAGATAATAAGTTTCCTAATGTTAACAGCATTGAAAGCCATGCAGAAACATGATTTTTTTTTATATTTTTTAGGTTTTTAATGACATGAAACCTGACTTCAAGACCCCTTTCTATTTGAAAAAGTTTCATTTTGCTGCACCTGCTGTGGCAGCTGCTGCTTGCCAACACTGTCTCTTTTGTTTATATCTTAGTACCTGGTTGTATGATGCTGGTTGTAGAGGTGGTGAAAGTGTACTTTATACCGGTCTGTAAAGGAGCATTGATTAGTTCAATATCCCAAAATATTATGTTTTTTATAATACCTATAAAATTGCACTACATTTCTGAATGTGTGAAGTTATGAACTACCATTCCATGCAGACTATTCCAAGGAATAAGAATTATATTCTATGCGCCTGCATGATATAGACTTTGAATTTTTAATCATGAATGAAATTTTGTGGCGCTAAAGTGACAAATTTTTTATACAATTAGAATCTTGCGGCTCAGGCATACACTTTGGTTAACAATTTGATAGGAGGAGGTAGTTCATCTGGTGAAAATTTTTTGGCTTTAAAAATGGCAGGAAAGCTCTAGTTGCAGCTCTAAAGGCATGATGCAGTTCATCAACCCTTTATCTAGTAAGCTTAGTTTTATAAAGAAATTTAAATTTCAACACTCTGGACTAGAAAGTAAGACAAAATCTATCAAATAATTAATCCCATGCATTTTTCAAAATTTTGCATATTTAAGCAGCAAATTTGCCAAATTATAGTTGATTAATCGAATAATCAAAGATGCAACTTACAAGTAAAGTATGATACTATTCAAATTTAAACATGCCAATATAAGATAAAAAGTTAATCTCAGATTTGAATTTGATTCTAATCAATAGTATCATTAGGTTACTGTTATATTAAAAAAACAATTTTTTTCTGGATAAAGAGTACTGGTATTATCTTTGATGGAGACAAGCTGCCATTTTCCCTTTAATGCTCATATTATAATTTTTGAGCGTCATAATAGTTGATGACATGTATGGCACAAAGAATAATAGGCAGATGATTTGTTGGTGATAGGAATAAATAACATTAACCAAATTAATTTAACCTCAGACCAGGGGATGTGGTGAGAACTATTGGGAGATTCTAAGTTACTGTATATGATAACTTGTTTTAAAGGATTAAGGAATTTTGTTCATCCAATAGGTATATTTTTATCTAACAGGTTGCTTCCTTTATTGGTCATGAATGGAATATAATTCATATGAAAGTTGGCTTTTTACTTCAACAGGAACCAAAATCATAATTAGCAATATCTTTAATCTTTAATGTTACCACTCAAGGTGCCTCCAGTCTGTAAAGGTAGCTAAACAGTTTGTGATAGAAATTCATTTTTAGTCCGGAATGTCCTCTGCAAGAAGAGTCCAGGTATGTAATTTTTGTCAAAGGTTTATATTGCAGAAAACAATATTGGTATATAAAGGTATATATAAATAAAGGTATATATTGCAGGGAACATCATTGAATACTTTTAGAACAATATGTATTCAGAATTGTGAATTTCAAATTATGACACAAAGATTTGGAGTATTTTACTATCAAATGTAGGTATGAAGTTTTATGTAGTTTGTTTTTGAACCATTCATAACTGATGCCTGGTGGGTCATGTCAGTACCAAGTGACTAGGTACAAATAGGATTGACAATGGTAAATGTATCTCAGATCAGAGGATTAATTTGTAATAAATTGTCATAGTTTATCTGAATTTTTTTTTCATTGGTTTTCTCAAGTTCACCATCAGTCAAAATGCACATCATAAACGTCTTGTTTATTAATTTATGTAATTCTGTCTTTCCAATAGCAATGGGTGACCTTTGGCCGTATGTGGTATCTATTTGATGCCAAGTGGCAAAATCCATTTGATGCATCCACCAAGATTGTTAAAGTTCTTTCTGGCAGTCACAAACCCATCTACCATAATGACAGTAAGTAAGATTTACCTCACAGACTGAATTTATAATGCAATGTGCAACACAAAATGCTCTTACTTCTTGCATAATGCTTATGTAATCATGATTCTTGAATGTCTCCTGACAACTAAAAAAAAATCATTCACATTTATTTTTCATGCATGAAACCGATGGCTTTGCTAGGCACTGATTTAGAGCAAATTTTGTGTATTCATTAGAATAGCTTTGTAGGCTCACTCACAAATACATTGTTCCTAACATCCACCTGGTTAATTCCTCATATAGGTTTCCCTGTTAGCACTTCCCTTGGCTTATAGCGGTACCGATATACCTGCTGTAGTTTTTTTAATATATACCAAATATTATTTTGTTTTCTCCCTTCCCCCATGTCAACAGTTGATTGTGGTGATCACGTGGTTGTGATCAACAGCGCTCAGATTGCACTGCCAGGAGATGAGTGGGAGAGACGTGTGTTCTACCATCACACTGGCTATGCTCAAGGCGCCTCATGGACTCTTGCTCACCAGGTCCACGAGAAGGACAAAACCATGGTAGGTCTCAGATAGACATTAAAATTGATATCTTGTGTATGTCATGTTCCAACACTACACTGATATTTCAAACATCTTGTAAACATTTTTCTGCTGAGCAATATTTTATAGTACACATTTGTCATTGCAATAGAAATATCTTTAGTTCTTGGATATTTTTGAAATTATAAATGCAGAAACACCTAGCCATAGATAAACTAAGTTCAATTGGTCTATCGTCATTGAGAAAGAAAGTTCGATTTAATTTTTAGTATGGTAATGAAAGTTATTGGTTCTAAACGGCGTTGATCCATGACAGGTTTTTCGTCGCGCCATTTACCACGCTCTGGACACATCACTGCTCAGACACGCGCGAATGTGTCGGCTCCACATTTACCCTGACGAGGAGGTGAAGTAGCATTAATATTACCACATTACTCTCTCATCACTGCGGTGGTGTTGCCTATTTTATGCGGCACGTTTTAGCCCCCACTATGATGCTGAAGTGTGCATGAAGCTGCCTGCTCATTGAAAACAAAGTTTTTAAATTGATTATTATCAGACAATACAGGTTTTATTAGATGCATTTTTTCTTCATATTTGAACAGCAAAGCATCTTGAATACCATATCAAATATTAGCAGACGCAGCAGCTGGAAGTTTGACAATAACTTAAATGGATAGAAATTTGCTTAGGGAAGCGAGCCTTGATTCAAACTTCTAATATATAATTTGGAACAATGGTTGCAAGTTTCATTAGTTCATTTTGTTGGACTGTTATTGCGAGCAATTGTGGAGTTAGTTTCATGTATTTACTGAATGGGATGGCAATTGAAAATGTGTTGTGACTTAGTTGATGGTTAATTGGTTATTTACAGGTACCTGAAGAGATACTGCGAAACGTGAGTGCGCAGCTGCGACAAATGCGGGCAGTTCCGAAAAGATTAGACCATTACACAGAAGACGAAGTAAAAAATTTCCCTAAATTATTCGAATGGCCTAAAGATTATGTGCTGGAGACGTGATCGATCAAATGTGATGCTTGTAAATATAATCTTGACACTTAGTAACAACTGTATTCGTATAATTTGACCTTTGACACATTTTCTACTATCAGTGATTCTTCTTGTATCGACTCGACTTGTGTCCCTTTCAATCTCCAGATGTTACAGAAAGGTAGATTTACGGAGAAGAAGCCAGTAATTCAATAAATTTATTATGTTCTATCTGTTTACGCGGTTAATTACACTGGGAACGGCAATTAAGCAGCTTCTTGTGACCACAATGGTTTGACATTATTTATTTATCTAAGCCATGATTGACTGACAAGCGTTAGCTCACCTGCCGACAAGCGTTTGATGGTTCTTGCGTTGCCGATCAAGTAACAAATTTGTTTCGTAAAACCGTTGGATTCTTTCTTTACATTTGGGCTGAGGAGATATTGTACGCAGTTTACCGACTTATCACTAAGGTTTCTCTTACACCTTACGAGTACGCAAGCGGAACCCGGTCCATCGGAGCCGCTGCAGTTCAGAAGGCTCTCGTGCTTGCATCTGCAGCATGAAAGTCTTTGGTAAACTGAGCTCGCTTTCCCTATACGCAGCATCTTTTTAGTAGTTTTTTACATTTGACCTCACGATATTTGTTCTGATTAACCTGTATTTGTATCCGAATAATGAAATAATGTTTGGCGTATGTATTATTTTCTTTTAGGTTTCTACAGAATTTGGAGCATAACAGTGGGTGATCAGATTAATTGTTGTTTCCATTGAACAACATCTTGCCGTTTTCCACGAAATGACATTTTGACATGGAACAACATTTTGCCGAACAAATTTGCAGTTAGGTCCTGTTGATCCCGTGGAATTTTATTTGAAAAATATTTCTTACCCAATCGGCATTACTTCAACGACAGAAAGTTAGTTAAATTTGAATGAAGACAAAAGCGACAATAATAGTTTAACCATTATAAAGTTGGAAGTGATTTCTAAAGAATTTCACTTAATTTTGTAATTTAACACAAATATAACGTAACATAGTGATGTCGACGCTGAAGAGTAGGCCTGATGTGGCCTGTCGCCGATTCTTGTACTTTTCGTGACTGGGGACTCCACAAACCTAAAAACAGGCCCTTCGATCGGATCTTTTTCACGCTGACGATAGTTTGAAATAGCTTCTAGACTCTCGCCAGGGTGTATATGCATTTCAAGTCTGAACATATATTTTTCCATAGCTTTATCTTGTCTGCTCTTGAACGCGTTTATACTCGGAGCGTCAACGATTTAACCTGGTAGGCTGTTTTACAGTTCATTAACAAAATTTCTGCGACAATTTCCTTTGCGTTATCCTAAAATAGTATGTTAAAATTATTTATTTGCTTGCTTTTCATCGTTCCCTTTAATATCTAGCTAATTTCAAATATTTTTCAATACTGGAGCAAATTTTTATCTCCACAATTAAATGGATTGCTTGCATGTAAATGAATTTAAATCTCATTTATACTCAATTCAATTCAAGTAATATACTTTGGATATACTTCACCTTGAAAACTTCGCGTCGCCACGTACGCCTGCTAACTACGTGCATCGCGTGTAAGGCGACTTGAATTCACGAATCGTACGTTAAATCCTGCAAATTCCGTGTGTATTAAGGTAAAGATCATGGAGATCACGTGATCTGCAAAGATCAAGTTTAAGTTAAAACATGCTAAAGATCTTCCGGCTTGGCGGTCGTCATTGAAATAATTTTGGACAACATTTATTTACCAAAACTTGTCGTCCTCACAGTTTTATAGCTACATTATACATGTTTTTTAATTTAAAATGCATCTCTTTAAACAGCTATCGTTAAATTCAATTTAATTTCCTTGCATCCAACTTAATCCCTAGACCAGCGAAGACACGTTTGCATGGATGTCCGCTGATCCTCCTATGCATAAAAAGTGGTGATCGGTGTAAAAAAAAAAACTTCCGTTGTTGGTGTCTTCCTTGAAACTGGAGTCGTGCAACTCATTTCTGAAAATTTTCTTACTTATTTCATGCTTTAGGTCATTATCCTAAACACCGTTGATTTTTTGGATTTGACTAGCGTTGAGCTGAAAATTTAGACTAGTGTTGAGCTGAAAATTTTGACTAGCGTTGAGCTGAAAAATTAACGCAAAGAATCAATATACCATGCGCCCTCCAACTATTCAAGTTGACAAGCAAATCTACTAAGATGTTCGTTTCACATAAACATGCCTGTCTACTAAAGGGGCTCATTTCAATTTCCGTTTTAGAGTAAAAATGCAAGAAACTCACTAGGATCAAGCAGCCGTTTATCATTTGCCGGTACAGAAGTAAATTAAATTGTGAACCCTGTAATTTATTAGAGGTTAGTGCAGTGGGCCAACTTCTTGCCAATTTATTTTTCAATATTTAGAGGTCAATATTTTTTTACATAATTGACAAGAAGTTTGTCAACATTTTTTCATGCTTTCCAGGTCAATATTTTTACATGCTTTCCAAGATGACACCAAAAGAATGTGCTTCACGTGAATGTTTTCTGACCGGTGTGACGTCTCAAAAAGTCATAAAACTGAGTTAAAATTTTCATTCTCGTGGGTATCAGTTTCAGTCGTGGGTATCTTGAACGTATCAGTTAAAACCATGGCATGAACTGTGTGTTATAATATAATAAATAATATAGCGGTTTCAGCATTTATTAGGCCGTAGGCCTGTCGCCGATTCTTAACATCGCAGAACATCCACAGCTTGTTGCGGGCTCGAACTTGAAGCTCCCTGCTTCAAATTTTCTATGCTTAACCGCCCGGCCTCCTTGCCGATTCTGACCAGAAACTGGCGCACAGAGCTGGGATTGAACCCGCATCTCTCTGCTCCAATCCTGCTCTGAACTGCAACCACTGGGCCACACACCCTTGTGCGAACTGCGTTGCATGAACTCTGTGCTGCATGAACTGTGAGTTGCATGGACAGTGTGTTGCATGAACTATGTGTTGCATGAACTATGTGTTTCATGAATTATTATTATTATTAATTAATTAATAGCGGTTTCAGCGTTATTAGGCCGTAGGCCTGTCGCCGATTCTTAACATCGCAGAACATTCACAGCGTGTTGCGGTCCCGAACTCGCAACTCACTGCTACAATTCTGTTGTGCTTAACCGCCCGGCCTCCTCGCCGATTCTGACCAGAAACTGGCGCACAGAGCTGGGATCGAACCCGCGCCTCTGCGCCAATCCTAGTACTCTGAACTTTAACCACTGGGCCACCCTGCCAGTTATGTGTTGCATGAACTATGTGCTGCATGAACTATGTGTTGCATGAACTATGTATTGCATGCACTATGTGTTGCATGAACTATGTGTTGCATGAACTATGTGTTGAATGAACTATGTGTTGCATGAACTATGTGTTGCATGAACTATGTGTTGCATGAACTATGTGTCGCTTGAACTGTGTATTGTTTGAACCATGGTGTGCCATCTGTTCCTTAGTCAGCAGAGGTGTTAGCTGCAGCCGAACATCCATACTTCTGTGTCTGGCTTCTCCGCTGATGTTCATGCAACAAAAAAGAATTGGAATGATTTTAATTTTTGCTTTGGTTATATTAATGTAACTTCACTTACTTTTTCTATTCTGTATTAATGTTTCGAGTGTGATGCTCAGGTTACCAGTAACGCGGAGACTTGCGTTGGAAGCACAAGGCCTTTGTCGCTGTAATTTAGCAGTTTAGCGGGCTTTAGATTTCGACTGCTCTATCGGAGTCAGAATGTGCACTGTGGTGTCAGTTGGTTACGGCACTGCGCTCTCGGCTTGACACTGCAGTGCACAGCCACAGGAGCTCGTGATCTTAAATTAAATAGATTAAAGTGTTTTATTTTAATATCTATTCATATTACTCGAAAGTAACGTCAGTGAAACATCGTTTGCTTCCCTAAATTTGTGTTTGATTGTTTTATTGTTTTGATATAAAGTGTTTAAAAACATGACTGGGAAAATTGAATACAGAATGTATCAGGTCTTGCCCTATTTTTAAATTATTGTCGCATTTTTTATAACGCTCTAATTTGTCGCAACGTATTCACGGTATTGGTCGATGCAGCTGCAAGATCCTTTTAGTATTTAAGTTTTTTTTTAAAAGGCCTCCCACACTCACCATTCCAAAAAAAGGGAATTGATTTTATTAATTAAAAACAGGGAATGGTTTCATGTCAATGATCAGGGCCCCGACCTAAACGCCTCTGATGGTGGCCTACTATGACTCCGAGGGTCACTGAGCTGTGACGCGAGCGAGGAGCGGGCCCACGTCGAACCTTTCTCTGACTGCTGTTAGGATGCTAGCTGCATTGCCTCTCTGCACGGCCAAACCCAACCTTTGCTCCAACCATAGAGTCTCTCTACGTTCGCCGGACAATTCCGTAATGCGACGGCCAATCTGTGATATTAAAGGACCAGTCGTTTCACCATATGTGCCCGTCGTTTCTAATACGACTGGCTCGAAACGATACCAAGCTGCCAACGCCGCGTATTTACGTCTCTTGCTATCCTCCGCCGCACGAGCCGCGAACCCAGCAGAAATAGCCGACTTATTGACGTGCGACTCAGCAAAAGTGTCGACGCAGGTTGCATCCCAACACAAACACCTCCCATTAGAAAACGGGAAAACCGTTAAGCCATCTTGTCTCTTACCATCCACTCTGTCCACTCCAACGGGTTCAAGGCATGAAGGAACGCCAGCGCTCTGAAGAGCCCTCCTGATCACATCGTTCAGAGCCGAATGTCTTGGATGTCGCCCAGCGCTGTACTTACAAGAAAGGCCATGCAGCCCTCGTGCATCCCTCCGCTTTCCGCACATTTGCGGAAATACATACATTTGCGCCAACTCGAAGAGCAATTGAGACGCGGAACGAGTCGGGATCTAGAAGTGTTCCAAGAGCATCCGAAGGAATAGCGTGAAGCCACAAGCCACTCTCTCTCTTCGCCGCCGCAAGTAGACGAGCCCTGGATATTTGGTCCGCCGCTTCCAAAAGCCGCGCCGCGGAGGCCGCGGCCACAGGCCCATCCCAAGTCCTCTGCCGGCCCAAACTCGCATTCCCGGGCAAAGTAATACCTGCGTTCCCATTGCGCCACTCATCCACCGCCATCATCCACCGGTTAGGTATTTAAGTTAGCAATCGATTTAGGTCACATTAGGCTTGATATTTCATTTTTGAACAATGGATATATATTAAAAAAGTATCCACCTCAATAATCATTTTCAACTTTCAAACATTAAACATCGAACTCAAACCGAATATCACATTGACAATGTAAACTTTCCAGATTATTTGCAGCAACTCTAGGCAGATGACCATAAAAAATCATAGTCAACGAATTTTGGAAAAGTTGTTCTCAGTCCCATACAATTGGGAATCTGCGCAAGATCTATGATTTGTTCATATTCGAATAATATGGCAATGTGTATTCGTGTGAAATCGTAATCGTTCAACAAAATGCAAAATAGTATCATTTGTAAAATAAAATATTTATTATAATTCATAAATAGATGAAATTTGTGCCAAGGCTTCTTTGCTTGATGCAAGGCGTAGAGTGTAACCAACAATGATTAATATTGTCATGTGACTGTATTTGAAAAATCAAAGCATTTCATAATTTGTGCACCCTACATGGAAATATGAATGGTATGTTCATTTTACATCTTTATATGCCAATAAAAGGACCAATGGAAAGCAACTTCATATAAGGGAGCAACGCGAAGTTAGTTTTCTAGGCAGTTTATTCTGCGGATCAACAATGTTGAATTTCTTTACTAACTTATAGGTTAGATTAACGTTTTCAAATAAAATTCGTTGAAAATTTTGATGCATTTTTTTTTGAACAAAAATTTAAATCACCGATTCCGAGGTCGGAAATGAGGCAACAGATGTGCTGCTCACTCACTCACTCACTCGCAGCGTTGCCAGATGGTATATTTCTATACCAGATTTGTGAAATCTGGTATTTTCAGAAGGTGTCTGGTATGAATATTTTAGATCTGGCATATATGCCTAAATCTGGTATTTTTCTGGTATTTTCCGACATACTGCAAATTTACTGCATTAAGTTCCACCTCTGAAGTTTAAACTTCCTCCAGCGTTGGCGTGGATTATATAGATTGCCTTCAGAGCGGCGCGATTAGAGGTTTCCCGCCATTTTTGGAACCGCAAGTTTACCGCTTGATGAAATAACCCCAATCTAATTGTTAACAAAAGTGCTTAGTGCAATATGAACACGAGAGTGATGATCCTTGACTGATTACTGATCAGTGATGATATGGCCTAGGACGAGTGAGGTTGTCGAACCGATCTCTGCGACGCAAGCTCCACCATTTTTGTTTGGTGGTTTGAATTATAGAGTGCCACTTGAATTCGGGTGTGCCATACAATATTTCACTGATCGTGAAAATCATCGTCCATTCATAGAACTGGCTGCCTACTGCACCATGCACGTGTCTACTTTGACCAGGTCTCCAATGCATTCGTGGAGTGAATGTTTTCACAAGTCACCTATGTGAAAAACAAGTAGCGAAATAAAATTTCAACTAACAAAGGTACTGTAGTCCCTTATTCGGACCAAAAGCTATCTGCTCAGCCGTAACAAGTGATCAAATCCGAAATGTTAGATTAATGCAATATGCAATCATGTATGAAAATGGAAGATGACCTGTAAGCATGTATGAAAATGGAAGATGACCTGTAAGCATGTATGAAAATGGAAGATGACCTGTTTCCGTGGCTTGCTCATGTTGAGCGAAGGGGAAGAAGTGCCACACGGATAAATGCACAGTACATAAATATTTTTTAGCGCATTTTTTCATTTATGAAAAAAATGCACTATTGTGGTCGCCATGTCCTTCTGTCCGTCCGTCTATCCGTCCGTGACCACGTTTCCGTCGACGAGAAAATGCGCTCTCTGTCAAGTCACTGCAGTGAGTACTGAGTTATATATATTTTTTCTTTTTGTAACCAACGCTTCTGACGAATAGTTTCATTAAATTTGGAGGTATTAGTCAGTTTTCGAGCAATACAATTTCTGGTATATTTCTGGTATTTTGAACTAGGCAATCTGGTATTCTCGCAGAGAAAAAACCTGGCAACACTTCACTGCTGCAATCCGCCGTGAATCCGGTGAGTACTCTGGGAGCCTAGACCTTCCCGAGATATGTAATGCATAAAGAAATGTACCTAGGTAACCTAGCCGTTGCCCGTTAGTAAAGCATGCCAGGATAATTGCAGTAAGTAGGTAACTGCAATATTTAGCTTCCGTATTTTCATTGTACATTTGTAACTGTCCATGAAAGAATCTCTCTGGATAGCTCTCATCAATCGTCACCGTCAGTTATAGAAAGATCGTGTTCCAAAGGCCGGATGTGAATCAAGTCACAAAAAATTCAAGAATCGGCAACAGGCCATGGGCCTATTTCTTCAGTGCCGACACTTCTATTCTATTAATCTATGTTAATGGAGATTGCTATTTAATTTGCTAAGAATCAACGAAAGAGTTGAAGGCTCGAGGCATTGATTGAGCTGGACTGCAGTGACTGCACCGCCTGCACGGGTAACCGTATGGATTAAATACCTAATAAATAACGGGTGAGCGTGAGACTGTAACTCATTGAGATTGTTTCTTGAAGCTTATTACTGATAGGTATTTGGAATTTGGATAGAAAGGCCTATGCATATGATCATGATGTGTAGAAACGTTTTAATTAGTAATTATAGAAATTCTATTAGCAAGTATTATTATTTACATAACATAACATAGTGATGTCAGCGCTGAAGTGTAGGCCTGATGTGGCCTGTCGCCGATTCTTTTCCTTTTCATGCCTTGTTCTAGTTGTTCATAGAAGATCTAAAATCGTGTCATTAGTCATTTGACCGTATCTTTTCATGACTGATGATAGTGAACTCAAGTGAACTATATTACAACACTTCTCTTTAACTTCCCTGGGAATCTGGGTCTGCCTGCTAAAAATTGTATTATTGATATTTAACATACCGCCAACCGGGGCTACTCGGGACTGGCGGAGCTACTCGGGAGTCGGGACCTGGGGACCATAGTGGCAAACCAGTGATTTTTTAGAATCAGTTCATTTTTAATTTCCTCATTTACTCAAGATTTTAACAGATTTCTCATGTATGATAATTCTGGTATCCAAGATACTTTAAACTTTACTGGTCTAAGTTATAGGACTCAAAAATGAACTTGAGGAAGAGTCTAAAAAACTCTCTGCTTTGCCACTATGGTCGGGACAGTCCTCCAACACGGCTAAAACTGTTATAGTAGCAAAACTAATTGGAATAGGTATTGCAAAACAACTAAATATAGTGGCGTAAACATCAACATTTTTCCTATCTAGGGTAAACGCGGTATATTCCGTCATTATGGCGTCATAGTAGGTAATTCCGTCACCTCTTTAGTTTTTCCTTTATATTAAGCTTTGTTTTAGTTCCATGCGTTCGTTGATGGTTGAAATGGTGACATCATACATTTGCCCATCGAACTAATGTCAAAACACTAGGTCTTGGCCATCTAGTGGGAAAATATTGAGATCCAAAGAGAGACGATGCATGCTACCCAGTGAGATCATCGAAAAATGTGTCAAATTTGACAGTTGACCTTGCTCTACCAAATAGTGAATAACTGTTTGTATAGGAAGAATATTATGGTTTGAGACTTTTAAATACGTCTGTGATTCTGTGAATATATTAGAAATCCGTTAAGTATACTTGTATTTGCTGATTTCAAGTGGTAAATAAATTAATAGATGATTAAGTTGAGAAATGGATTTAGACACATGAAAACTAATTCCGTCACAACTTTAATTGGACACACACAGATCGTTCCAAGCTGTGTACAAAAATTAAAATTTGCTTAATTAAAAGCTTAATAGTTTTTAATCAAAAGCGTAATTAAGTAGTGTTCAATATTCATTAGTGTTCTAATTCAAAGCCTTGTTGTATTCCAATACAGCTCACACAGCAAACGGAATTCGAACACGTGGTGACGGCATTATGTATCAGTAGAATTTTAAGCGCGGACATAATACGCCTCACCACGTGCTAAATATTGCCACACACAGGGAGGGAATATAGGGATTTGGTAGGTTTCCATTCTAAAGGCTTTTAAATAAACATGGCAACATTTTGGGACGTTTTGTTGTTGCTGGCGCGTAGTACGGTGTTTTGCAAGTCAAATAAAGCAAACAGAACTTGAGTAACGCATACGGTTATTTTTTTTTCATTTTCATTTCTCGATGCGTCCTTAATGTGATGGAATATACCGCGTTTACCCTATGTAGTATAAAGGAAGTCGAAAAATATTACATTTACTAGCGTTGAAACATTCCTGAAAAAAATGGTGAAAAACGCTATTTTGAAAAGTTACTTCTGCTATGGTCTCAGGTCTGTAGCCAAAAAAATATTTGCTGTATTAAAAAATTTTATTTACATAAAAGAAGCACTCAGGTGTCGGCTTGAAAACGTAATTGACGGAATTGTCCTAACTCATTCCAAAAAATGGCAGCTATTTCCGCACGGCGGGGCTACCCGCACCCGGCTACTCGGGACACCCCCCTGGGGCTATTCAGTACACCCCCAAAAACGCATTTACAGTAGAACGGCTAGAACCTCAGTAAGCAAAGGGTCCAGTTAAGAAAAAAATGGATTAAAAACAAAGAATATTGATTACATTTACCTCGCTCAGCTAAAAAAAATTCACTTATCGAAAAATTAGTGCGTCATCGGTCATCACAAAATTGTACATAGAATGCTATATATATAATTGTGCACTGGGAATCATAGAATGAAAAGCAATTGATCTAATCTATCATTTATTTCTCCCAAATGTACGATGGTTGTCACTAGAACATTCCTTTCTGTTTCAGGTATGTTTTTCACAATCTTTTTTTTTATAGTAAATTCACTTGACCCAATTAAAATGGCGCATAAACGAGCACTATTGTGCTTGCCATGTCCGTCTGTCTGTCCATCCGGCTGTCCGTTCGTCTGTGAACTCAAGTTTTTGCCGACGAGAAAATGTGCTTTCTGTCACTCACTGCTGGGAGTACTGAGTTATATTTTTTTATTGTAAATTCACTCAACCCAATTAAAATGGTATGAAATTACAAGCTGTCTTGTGAGCTTACAGATACATAAAAAATGCTATAAGGCTGCTGATATGAAGCTTGCAGTGGACAAGGTTGTTGTAAATGCTCAATGGCATGTTCATGGATATGGTAATATCACATCAATAATACAGTAATATCACATCAATAATAGGGTACTGTCATCTGGGGTGACTTCGGCCCCATTTTTGATTTTGTTTTGCAAACAAAAGCAGGGTCATAAATGATGGCCAAAGTCACTTGGGCGTTTATGACCTTGTTTACGACCCAGGCGTTTACGACCCCGTTTTTGTTTGCAAAACAAAATAAAAAATGCGGCCCAAGTCACCCCAGTTGATGGTAATTAATGTTTATGGTAATATCATCAATAAAGGAAAAACAAGTAAAAATCACTGAAAATGTCATTTATTCTACCTCTACATCATCTATAATGAAAGAGGAGGACTTCAGAGAACTGTTAGTAATTGATGAGTATGCTCTGCATGCTTCAAATATTTTAAAATGAAGTTTTATTCCCAGTGTCCCAAGTAGCTCCGTTCGATGGGGCTACTCGGGACACTCTTTTTTTATTTTTTTGAAGATGCCATTCAATAGCCTTTGCAAAGAGCTATAAAATGAGCCTAAATTTGTTTATGAAATGTTTCATGGTAAGAAGTTATGAATGAAAAACGTTCAAAAGTGTCCCGAGTAGCCCCGGTTGACGGTATATATACTGACTACACTTACCTAATTATATCAGTATCAAACTATCAATCATACTCATGAAAGTCACCCTGGCTCACCCAGTCCTGCTGCCCTGGTGACAACCATGAGGGGAGTCTGGGGAGATAGTGATTTGGGCAGGACTTGAATTTAAATTATTTAATTCCCAAGTTAGGAACTTGAACATGGTGTCAATTTGTCAAAGCAGAGAGCCAGAGACTTTTTAGCTACTTCCTCAAGTTAATTTTTGAGTATTGAGTCCTTAAGAAGACCAGTAAATAAGAGTAGTCTGAGACTCTGAGTAGAGTATCATCATGTATACCAGGATTACTGGATTACCAGCATTATATAAAATATAGCTGTGTCAGTGTTTATTAGGTCAAAATAGATTGTAGGCCTTTTGCCTATTCTCGACATTGCAGAACATCCACAGCCTGTTCTGGGCTTGAAGTCACAAATTGCAACTCTCTGCGTCAAATTTGATTTCAATCTTTGCTTAACCGCCGGGCCTCTGTGCCGATTCTGACCAGAAACTGGTGCACAGAGCTGGGATCATCATCAAATGGGCATGTCTCTGCTCCAATCTTGGTACCGTAAAATGGGGTAACTTAGACTGGCGGGGTAACTTAGACCACTTTTCGTTTTTTGAACAAAAACCCCCACAACTCAAAAACTATTTGACATAGAAAAATTTTGTCAATGGGCATTAAAGGCCTAATACTGAGACTACATAACACAATAAAAAGATTTGAAAAGTTTGCATATCTAATAGGTTAAAAAATTAAAAATGTGACCCACGAAAAAAAAAGTGGTCTAAGTTACCCCATTTTACGGTACTCTAAAATTTAACCATTTCCACATCACATAAGAAACGAAATTGGTTTAAATCTTGAGTAGATGAGGAAATTAAAATAGAACTTATTCTTAAAAATCCATATGTCACGTTGAATTTTATTAATTTAATTTTAGATCATAAGCAAATAGTCAACTCAGATTATTGTACTAAACATGTTGTATACTAGACTAAGTTAGCTTCAAATGAATATGAATACCGTCAAAAAGGGTAATAAGCCAATAAGGGACTGGTGGGTTAAAATGTAAATCGGGAGACCTCCACCACAGATTAAAAATATAGCAGCAAAACTAATTGAAATATTGTAAAACTAAAAATAGTGATGTAAACTTCAACATTTTTCCTATCTATGTAGTATAAAGATAGATGAAAAATCATACATTTATTAGCTCTAAAAAATCCCTGAAAAAATATTGAAAAGTGATTTTTTTAAAAAGTACCTCCACTAAGGTTGGTAGTGAAAAAAATATTTGCCATTGCCATATTGAAAAATTTTGCATAAAAATAGTTACAGAAAAGTGTCAGCTTTAAAACTTCATTGACAGAATTTTTGTACCTCAATCCAAAACAAAATGGCGGCTATTTCCACATAACGTGGTAGTAAGGGACAACTCCCCCCCCCCTGAGGTAATATGGGACACCCCTAAAAAGGTATTTACAGTAGAACCTTGGATAGCAAAGGCTCCAGTTAATGAAAAAATCTACTAACAAATAAGAATTTTGTTTAGATTTACCTAGCTCTGGAAAAAAATTCACTTAACAAAAAATTAATGCATCATTGGTCATCACAAATTTGTGCTTAGAATGTCACAGATAGAATTGTGCACTGGGAAACAGAATGAAAAGTAATTAACAAAATCTGCTCCAACAATTATCTACCTCTCAATCTCTTAGGCTGGAAGATGCTTTACTGTGTGTAAATTAATCGTTTTAAACAGATTAAAATATAACAATAGTAATGTAGCCTGAATAGCACCAAAATTTTTTTCAAAAACCTAAATTTTTCTTACTTGTAGTACCCTATTTTGTCCAGACTCTAAATTAAAGCCTTTTAGATTTAGATAGCGTCTTTTCTAGCTTCCCATCAAGTAGATACGTTATGTGCTAAATCTGTGTGCTGATCACGAAAAAGCAACAAAATGGTAGACTATGATTTTTGTCTTGAATGCATCTTAGATTATATTCCACACCTGGATGCACAGTAGGTCTTTTTGGTATAGATCCCTGCCTTATTGACAGCATAATGCATGACAACTAGTGGATGGGAGCTCCTAAAAAAATCTCATTATTTCAACACTATTTTGTTTTTTTTTGACAAGTTTCAATAATGTACTTATCCAAACCAAGAACTTAATTAAAAAAAATTGTTTTGATCAGAAATTCGATTAAGCATTAGATCTAGAAATGTACAATTAACACTCATCTTGTTTGTCTTTAATGAACCCATTTTTAATGGTTGTATACAGAATTCCTTTCATACCTCAAATTTAGTTTAAATTGTGACATCTTTTACAGTTTCAGACTAAACTTCATGCTACCAATGGCATTTCATTAGTTTCCACTATGTCAATAGCACGCTCCACTGTCACAGCAGAAGAAATAGATTTGGACTTCCTTCCTATAATATATCAATTCATGCGCTGGTATGTACCTTTGTTTTAAGGACCCTTCTTGCATTTTGTTACATAATGATGATTTGGACTGTAGTTCATAGTAGATTATTTTGTGCAATCAAATTTTTTATTTTATTATTATGTGCAATATTTTCCTGCTCATTCGTTTGCTGACACACATAACATATATTCCCTGCTATGATAGTCAGATGGACATATAAAAATGCATACCAACAAAAAAATTTGCATATTTGCTTATCTGCGCTATGTGACCAGATTAATTGAACATGTGTAGCATTCCGAGTTTGGTCTATAGAACTAGACACCACTGACTTGGTGACAATGCATAGGATATTACATCCCACCTTTTCATTATCTTGTTAATCTTTTACTTCTGATTGAACTCCTGACAGCGTCTCGATTTTACATAAAGCTTTGAGCCTGTTTGCCCAACACCAATCTTGAAGCATTCAAGGCAAACTTTCCATTAACATTTGATCCAATTTTTTTTGTGGAAAATAAATGACACTTGTCCCACTGCTAGTGACCTGCCCAATCAGATATATAAACGTTTAATAAAGCCTTTAGGGAAACTAAACTGCCATGTTCACTGCCTAAGCTAAAAGCCTTGGTATTCCATTATTATCATTTTTTTCAAATGTTGCTAATATATACTTTGATGCAGAGAAGCCATAAAAGTTATAAGTGAATGTATTCATGACTGATTTTGGTAGAGGCCTACTTCCACCTCAAAATGTGTTGCATAGAAACAAAATAACCTTCCTAATAACTAATCTAAAAGCAAGAAAATGCACTTGCCCTTCTTACAGGCTGCAGCTGTGCCACTTGCCTCTTGATTACAGTTAAATAAATTCCAGAAAATATTTTAGTTTCCCAAGCAGCTGATAAACTGTTTGGTGCAATGAAAGGAATCTCCAATAGTCAGGAATTCAATAATCAGCCCACACAGTCAAGTGATCAGTCTAAGCCTTAATTGTGTCACATTATTTCTGTATGTTAATCTACCATTTTTTCAGTCTTGAAAAGGAGCAGAACCAAACTGATTTGAACCGTGTTGCTGTTGAAGCCTCTCAACGCCTGTCAGACTTGCAGAACAAGATCTCTCTTGCTAGAGAACAGGTGCTTATCTAGTACTATATATTTGTCTTCAAAATATTTAACCCTCTACCGCCTGACATGAGTAACCAGAGCAATATTGTCACAAGCCTACTTTCCAAAAAGGATACATTCTAGTGAGGTCAAAAATGACTTGCACTGATGGCTGCCGCCACGTACAACTTTAAAATGTTCTCTGTTGCATACAAACGTCCTCGTGTTGTTACACGCAATACTTTACTTGTAATTTAAGTTGAAGTTAGGCTCCCGGAGAGTGACACACGGCGGCAGAGGGTTAAGAATACAAATAAGAGCATAATATCCCTCTTATTTTTAACTTTTATCAATGTTTCATTCCATTTGGTTTGATTCTGCATTTGTGATTCTCGTTCAGTTCATCTTCTTCACTGCTATTTAGAGCTCTTATCATCAATGTGTTAACCAACAAATTCAAGATTGTTGGATTGAAATTGTGAACTTGTAATCCCTTTTGTAATCAAATGCATTGCAAAGTTATGGATGTATAGGTATATGAACTTGCTCTTGATGGTGATGACTAGGAAATAGGTATATATATTTTTGCTGTCTTTTCTTTATTTGTACTAGCTACAGACAATTGATGTTTAAACCTGCCCATCTGCAGATTTTTAGTACCTATTGAATTTCGTTTGAAAAGTTCCTTGAATGTGGATTTGGATTTGATGAAGGATGTTTTATTTCAGGTCCCAAAATTAGCCGGCGTTGAGAACAGTCCTGCTGAACAGCTCAAGAAGTTGGATGCTCTACGTGCTCAGCTAACACTGAAGAAGAAACTACTTTCAAAATACAAGGCGGAAGGTGCTAGTGAACCTAACAGTGCCTAATTGTAAGTGGCTGAATTTGTATAATTTCATATTCTGGGCTTTATACTGAAGGGTCTAACCTGAACGTTATTGAGCCTCATTTGACTTGTCGAAGAGAAGGTTGATTCAGAGAATGGTTTTTAGATATCTAATTTCACGCTTTCTTAACAATCCGCAGATTATTGATCGGCTCTCAGATTGGTATCCTATTCGGCGAGCTGCGAAGCTGACTGCATATGCTATACAAAAGTCAAAAATCGCTGCTGAGAGAGCTATAGAGTCAGAATTGGCTAAGAAACCCTCTAATTTTCAAAAGCGTTTCACTGACGAATTAAAAGAAGGTTTCAAGGATCTTGAGAAGAAGCGTTTTGGTAACAAGTAATTATTTCTTTGAATTGTTTTCAAGTCTGTGCTGTGAAACATAGTTTAATTATGGGAGCCTCAAATTCGAGTGAGGCGGGAGCTGCCGCAGCAGTTTCTTCCTCTGTTGCGCCCGCAGAGGAGAAGCCTAAGCCAAAATGCAAGGCATGTTGCGCTTGTCCGGAGACCAAGCAAGTGAGGGATGCTTGCATAGTCGAGAAGGGCGAGGAGAACTGCTCTGAACTTATCGAGGCTCATAAAAAGTGTATGCGAGATATGGGTTTCAATATTTAGTTTTTAACAGCTTCACTTTTTTTATTAAGCTGCATTTTGTTGTGCAGTATGAGCCAGTTGTATATTATTTCTGTTTAGGACACAGGGTAAGATGAACTTTGTTAAATTTTTACATCAGCTCATCTAAATTGGATTTGTAATATTTTCAAACTTGAATTGAAATGTCGCATCAATGCCTGTGTAACACTGCATCATTTTCGACCTTCATCCATTGGCCATGAACGAGACGGTTTTTTCTTCTGGTTCATGCGACGCAGTTGAGGCACGTTTACAATAGATGTATATACAATCACTAAATTAGTTTAATTTGCCCCTGATTATATGAAAGGTATTTATGTGTTTCGACATTCGTTAAGTCATCTCTTAATTTTGACAGCCTTATTCGCATCATTAAGTAGAAAAAAGCAAATGAATTTTCATTTTATAATTTGATTGCTATCTGATTTGTTATGCGGTACGTACTACTTTGCAATTGTATGAAGTCATCTTAATTCCCTTACGTTTTATTGAAATAGCGAAGCATTCGTTAAGCACAAAATTTAATCAATACAGATCATAAAAAATGACAGTAACATCACAGTAAGTGATAAATTTTTGGAACTTGTAGAGGAGGGTACGGCAATCCAGCTGACTTCTTGCCACCTAGACTCCTGCACCGGCACCTTCATCAGGTGTTGCAGCACGGAGTGCACGTCGTGGCTTGATACGCTGGGACCCGTCACCCCGTGCTGGATGCCTGACCAATAGACGCTAGAATTAGGCAGCAAGTGCATCAGAAATTAAGGAACACTATTTGCTACCAGCTGGGGCTCAATAATCCCTGCAATTTTAGAATTTCCTTAATATTAATAGATGTAATGGGTGCGTAATTAAAGAAAGACAAGTTCAAACTTACTTATCACATAGAGAATGCGCAATTGACTCTTGTTTCAAATTGAGAAAAAAATTTTTTAAGTAACATTTAGGAGGTAAATTTGAAAATTAACTTCAAATTTTTTAATTAATCCATTCCTGTCAGTTTTGCAATGCCATACTATCACACTAATAAAATTTCAGGTCCAGGCAAAATCCTGACACGAGAAGGATCGTGGATTTGCACCCGACAGGCCCCTATATATATTCGGTGCCAGTCTCCAAACACACGAAGAAACCCACACACTAACTTGTAAGAATATTCATAGATATGATAAATGATCTTTTTATGCGGTATCGTTGCTTTCAATGCGTAGCGAAATTTTAATAATAAAAAGCCCGACAAGGTTCAATGTTCCCAAACTTCACACAGTGGCTCCACATGGCTTATTTTAGGGGTACTTCAGCCACCTGAATAATTTTCTGCTCATTTATTAAAATTATTTTAGAAATGCCGACAAATAGCCCTCTCCCCGTTCCTGAAAACTAATGATCCGCGCCCCCTGCCTTTGCACCACTCGCTGCTAAGTTCTACGAACTATCCCAAGAACCAACATGACTAGTCATACAACATCTCCTGATGGACTTAACGGGTCCTTTAACTTCTTTCCGTTCTTACCGGGTCCTTTAACCATGAAGATGCCTTTCATGTCCCAATCTAAAGCACTGAAACCATTGCCTGCAAGATGACCTCTTCCAACGCCAGCTCCAGAAAGTGTTTCTTCCATTTCGTGAGCTGTCCGGTGGTCACGTGTGTTCCATTCTAAAGAAAAGCCTGTTGGAAAATATTGCTTTTCATTCTTTAGAGATTATTGCAGTTTATTGAAAGATTACTTTTTATTCCTTCATAAACAAGCAACTTGGGCTACTGAATTGTAAAAAACGAATCCTTGAATTAGGCTACCTGGGTTAGCGATGATAAGAATTTCTTCGGGCTCTCCCGGCCATTGATCTTCCTTGGCCAAGTCAGACATCTTGTAGATCCTCAGAGCGCCGTTGGGGATTGAAGAACAGTTTTGCAGCTTTTGTATCACCTCTCAGTTTTGGATAGAAGAATTATAATTTTATTTGTTCATACTGTTGGAAGTATATATCTGTAGCTTGTAAAGATGATCAAGGAGTAGTAGTAGTATAATGGCTTGCTATCGCTTCAGCTATCAAGCTATTTCGCACCGGAGGTCAAAAGATAACTTCGCCAGCAAGGCGGAAGGTCTTAATTATTCAATATCTCAAATTAATCATCACCCACAAGGGGCGGAAGGTCTCAATTGTCCAGGACGCTGAAGCTGGCTTGAAAGAAGCAACGTTAGCATCTCAAAGAGACGAAGTGACAAGGAGGGACAGGTGAAAAGCAACAGAAACGAAGAAAATCGAACAAAAGGTCGCTTACACGGGACGTCGGCCGCCCGCACGAGAGAGACAGAGAAGAGAAATGTAAGGAATCCTACGTACACTTAACCCCACAACTGAGACCCGACGTCAGACACCGCGAGCTCAGTGGTGGGGCGCTCAGGAACAATCCCCCTAGGAACGCGAAATCCCATAGGACTTCTGACGCGCACAGACACACGTCAGAAGTCCCCTTCTGAGGGGTTAAAGATGATCAAGAGTAAGTGCGCTAAGATTTCTTTTAACTTATCTAATGGAGTAGCAGCGAACGATAGAGCTTCATCGTTTTTAGATGCTCAATAGATATGATTGAATTAACTTTGTTTATGGCAATATCTTTACGACCACACACCTGATCAGCCGTACCTCCGCCACCTGGCATTAGCAGGACTGAGCCGGCGCTGGCATAGCGCATGCGCGGTGCAGACGGATCAGTAGCCAAGCATGCGCCCAAGTCTGATCCTTTGGTCGCAACGGGCCGTACGGAGGTAAGCCCGCTTCCGCTCGTCAATACAACGCTCAACTGAACGCATAGGAATTCAGTATAAATTATTTCTCGAGTGATACATGCATGAGTACCAAGGCGACTAATCCATGAAATTTTGCATCATATTCAGGGTGTTTGCTATTTCAGGGAGAAAACGCAAAATGGCCACAATTTTTTTCATTTGAGCACCAAATCTAATATCAAAAAAGGTGACAAAAGCAGCCCCGGCAACTATCGCCCTGTCAGTCTGACAAGTGTTGTTTGTAAGCTGATGGAATCTGTTGTGAGGGATAGGATTATCGATCACTTGACAGCCACGGCTATAAGCTAAAAAAATTGCGCTGCAACTTCTCCACGCGACAAAATTTTTTCTCGCTTCGAATCACCGACATGTGGAACAGCGTCCCCGATGACATCGTTGGAGCTCCAAGTATGAACGCGTTCAAGAACAGACTAGATAAAGCTATGGAAAAATATATGTTCAGATTTGAAATGCCTAGCTCCTTATCGAACCCGGTGGAAGTCTAGTAGCTACTTCAAACTATCGCCAGTCATGAAAAGATCCGATCAAATGATACGAGTTTAGATCTATGAACAAGGCACGAAAAGAAAAAGGATCGGCGACAGGCCACATCAGGCCTACATTTCAGCGCCGACATCATTATGTTATGTTATGTTAAATCTCATTAAGGATACATTTCGAGTTAATCTGCATGCTGAAAATTATCGCTACCCTGCAAAAACTTGATAAAAGGCATGCGTAGTGCACATGTTGCAAACTGTTTACAGCTAGTTTCACGCCAAAGCAGATGATGGATAAAAATAGTTAACCTCCCAGAATTTACCTCGTCCCAAATAGCAGCCGCTTTGAGCTCCCTAAAGAGATCGTCCAAGACGAGCTCGACCTCCCGGAACATTGTCTTCGCTTCTCCACTGCCCAGTCCGTAGTGAAGCGCCGTCCACATTAAAGCTTCGCTCCTCATCTATGATCGTCAGATATTTATTTAAAATTGTATATTGTTATCTACGGATAATAAAATCGAATACTTTTCAGAAGCCAAGATACTTTTTAGCTTACCACGTGAAAACTGTTGAAATATCATGAGATGAGAAGAATGTATTCAACATGTAACTTCGAATACATACTAGCCAGTTTGCCATATTTTCATCATGGTTTTCAAAATTAGGCCATATTTCATCCGCGATCGAATAGGTACGTCCAAATACCGACATGAAGTTTACTCTCAATACACATCAGCGAAATAATTAAACGCTAAGTCTCAGAACATTTGGTTTGTTTATTAATTCTGTTATATGCGCGTTGTAGTTTCTGCTAAACTATTCACGAATATTTAGTTTTATTTTGTTACCTTTTTGCTGGTGCAGCATCCCTCACAGTGTTCCCGTAAAGAGCACACCTTGCGATCATAACCTATGAGCATATCTCACAAACACCCTTCGTAAACTACGCACATTCAACGCTCATGAGCACTCCTCACGTTCACCTCTCACAATGACCCTTCACAAACCACAAGCACCTCTCATAAGCACCCCTCACCAGCACTACGGAGTATCCCTGGTTGATGATGCTATCAGCAGCGAGTGCAGCGTCACCGACGACCTGCACCAGCAGGTTGTCCACACCAGCGACCTGCACTCGGTCCACGCAGCTCACCAGGTCGTCCTGTTCATGTAGCGCTGAGCAACTAATAATAAATAAAATAATTACATTGTTTAAGCATTTTTAGATTCATTGCTAAAATATTCAACATATTGCTTTAGATGTTTTTTTAGCGAAAGCCACTCAATGACTTAATTTGTAGCGTCAGTAAAGATTACTCCTTTTAAAAATAGTGCACTTTCAGACTTGACGAAGATTGGCTTTGCCACAATGTACTATTCAATTTAATGTCTGGTGTGAGAACAGATAATTGTAGCACTTACATTATTGAACAAAACGCATCAACAACAAAGTCATTATCACTTATCGCGTATATGTCGCGTTAGTATTCCCTGCTTGGTTTGCTTGCAGATGTGAGTAAAAATTATATTCCGATCTGAATTAAGGCAGAAATTTTTAAGGTTAACGAACAAAACCAAAGCACACTAGCAAGTGTCAGGGAAAAATCACGTAGTTGTTTCGATTGTTTGATAAACTCACACGGTGGACGAATAAAGTATAAATACTAATTAGTATTAAGATTTTAAAGTTTTTTTGTTACTCGAGCCAGCGGAGCAGCGCAGTTTTTAGACCGAGCTGCGCCGCGCTCCCCCACAACGGAGTGGCGGCCGAGCTTAAATTCCACTCTCCTCCGCTCTCGAGCTCCCCCAGCACTCCGTGGTCCACAGGCAGCTCTCCTGCACTCAATTGTAAGAAAAAAGCCTTATAATTATAAATTATCTCTCTATTATTGAACCAAATTCTACGAACTTTTTCGTGTTGAACTAAATGAGTTAAGAGTGCCGTTTAAGTTACGGTGGGCGATGAGAATTCGAATGAGCATTCACTTCTAGCCTGAAACAAAGACTGCCAAAGATATCCTTTCTGAAACAAAATTTTGTGTGGAAGAAGTAAAACATGATCCATAATCTACCCGTCGCCATGGTGAAGATGTTGGGGGCGGCGGTGGTGGGGAAAACTGGAGCCATCCATGCAGCGGTGGCTCCCTCCTCCTGCACCGCCGTGAAGTATTGGCCCACCACACAGGCGCCCTCTGGCGGACACGGTTGCGCGCGTGTCGTGTTCACTGCATCCCATCGCAACCTCAACATAGAAACAGTCACCAGCTTTCATTTGATTGGCCAATTCAACATCACTTTATTCATAAATATGACTATAATATTACGAATGAACATTTGCTGGATTAACGACAAGTTTCGGTAATAATAGCGGTGTCAGCGTTGCTGATTAGGTCATGAGGTCTGTCGCCGATTGTGAACATCACAAAATTTCACAGCTTGTTGCAGGTCTCGAACACGCAATTCCCTGCTACAATATCCACTGTGCTTAACTACCCGATCGCATCGCCGATTTTGACCAGAATTTTCTGCAGTTGGCTGTTTGTATCGAACCCACTGCTCACTGCTTCAATTTTGATGCACTGAACTTAAACCACTTGGTGATTGCTGAGACTATTTGATATATTGCCGTTCTTTAAGCTTTAATTGACTTGTTTCATAGATGCCAAGTACCTTCGGGCATTTGGGATGAAGCTATCTATCAAATTTATTGAATTTATTTAATCGTGGCTTCATTTTAATGACAATTACGTGTGTCATGGCTAATATGTATTAAAAAATTATTAAATGATAAATTTAAAAATTACCGAGCCGCTCTTAAAAAAACTTAATGTAAACAACATTTTGAACCAACTATTAAATCTGTTAATCTTCTAAAATCACCTTGTAAGCATTTTAATCAACAAGCAAGTTTACTGACCCGTCCAGAACGATGACGAGAAGCTTTGAGTTAGTGAAGTTTGTTGCTGTTCCATAGACGCCACGAAAGAGGCATGTCAGCTGCATTCCATACGCGAGCAGTACCATCAACATATGCCCCGACATCTTGTCTGCGTAAACTGACTTAATCTTATTACAAACCGACTCTGTAAGAACATCGAACTCTCAAAAGTTGTTGAATCCTTATGACCAACGAAAGAACTGGGTCTCAGAAGTTTCCAAATTTTCTTAGTTAAGAAATTTCTTGGAGATACTTAAGTTTCCAAATCTTTAATGCTGTTTCTATTTTCCGGATAAGAAAAAAATTGATAGATTCAAACTTCAGTTTTCAACACACGCGCTCAAGTTGTATAATTAAAACAAGCTAGCAAATTCAATGAATTTCGGTTAGGTAAGCCTATACTTTACTGCGCACAAAAGTTGACTAAACGTTCTCGGATTCCATTGGTCTAAGCGCTTCTGAAACTGCACATAATGATTATTCCTCACACGTTTAATTTATTGATTGATAACGGTAAACAAATGTATAATATACAGAAATTGCAGGCTTTAAATGAGCCGTGTTCGCTACTGGTGGTCGATGCTTGTGTCCTGCTATAGCTCGTCGCTGCGTTGACACTGAAGACTTATCGCTTATCAAGATGAAGATAAGAGCATCAACCGCTCATCTACACATGCTGCGTCCGATTGAGAAACGTCCGTTTTCGCGTTTACAAGCATGAAATTGTTCACACAAATTCTTATTGCATGCGATGCTACTAACGATTTTATTGATATCATTAAAAATTTGTTTTTCGGAAGAGTGCTCTAACAACATTAGAAAAATTTAACGCTCAGGAAACACTTGCTGAGTTTAATGTTATTCTATCGTGGGATCTTGGTTTGGTTCGTTGAAAATGAACGTGTGAAGGAAAAATTGCAAGAAGCTTCGACTCTGTTTCCAGGAATGAAAGGCTGCAAGTTAATTTGACGGGGAAAGATATTTAATTAATTGTTAATTAATTTGACGTGGAGAGAACCACATGAATTGATAATAATGTATTGACGAAAGAAAACGGTATTGAATTGAGATAGAGTCAACTACCCCTAAACGAGTCTCAAGAATGTGGAAGCGATGCACGATGCCTGAAAAAACGCACGGTGCCCGTCGGCTCTACGCCAGACCCGCCGCGCGCTGCGCTGCATCAATAATTAAGGAGGAAGAGTACAAGACGCTGATTTTCTCTAGTGTTTTGAGAGGACGTTGACTTGCAGTACTGCTGGCCTTGAAACCAGACGTACATTTGTTCTCCTTCATCGCCTGTGTTCCTGCTCCTATAACGACCCTGGGCTTGATCTCGACTGGGGATAATCCTGTTAGATTAATGGCATTCTTGGAGTTCCAAAGCCCTGAGAGACATGCACTAAAGATTACCCTTTATAGGTTTGAAGTTTCTCATTGATCTTGTTGAGTTTAGTTTTACTTCTCCATTTTATGTAGAATATCGGAAGAAAAAGTGCACATTCCGCAGTAGCAGAACATAAAATCAAGTTACCGTCATGGTCACCGGTCATGTACACTGAACAGTGCGGATAACAGTCCGGGAGCACAGATTTTGGTTTTTAATTAGTGATGAGCCAAATAAGGAGGGCGAAATTAAGATGCTGGTCGTCGATGAAATGGCATCGGTGTTGCAATTTGAAGGGTCGTCGCGTAAACGAGATTTAGTATTTTTTTCTATCTGATCCTGCGATCACAAAATAGAGGGTTCAAAATAAATGTTTTCAGAACTTCTTCAAGAGATTGCGAAAATCCTGCGATCCAAACTATCCAAATCCTTAGCACATAGAAGATTCTTGAATGAATAAATAAAAAAAGATTGAATGGGATTTAGGACAAGAATGAAAGCAAACCTAATTGCCACAATTTATGTAACAGCAATTAACGAACACGAAAACCAAGTGCCACCTGGTCGTCCTTGATAGGCCAACTTAATATTGACATTTAATGGAGGAACAAACATACGGGTAAAGTAACACACGCTTGGCTACAATGCATGGAGTAACACGCGCAACCGCACAACGAAGACCAGCAATATAAATTTAAACATGATTTAGCAGCAGCACAATCAACATCACGTAACGAACGAAACACATCAGCTTCAAAGTATCTCTTGATTGAGCCGCATCGCCGTACAGCATGCAATTAGTATGGAAGAGACTCATTTCGTACACAAGAGATACAGCCAAAGCAACTATTTAAATGTTGTCGTGCAGAAACAGACAACGCAGCACCGCAATGCGAATCGTAAAAACTTTATAGTTTTACTACCGCAGCACAATAAACAGCCGTATCAACATATGATTGCAGCGAATAATGTTAACAGAAGCCTTAAGTATCAATGGAGTCATAAAGATATTATATTCTATTGATACTTGATAGCAGCTATCGTAGCACAGCTAGAGTAAGAATATGTATGGGAGCTACCAAATCAAAGCGCGTTGACACTTAAGCCACAACAGCAGTCGTCGCTAGAATCGAACGCACTCATACAAAAGTAGCTACAGAAATATTATAACATGTAACAGAAGCGTCGGCAGCGGCACCAGCAGCAGCTAGAGTACTGTTGGAAATAATTGCAGCAGCGTTATGAATACTATGTACAAAAGTTGTTGCACAGTTCCAGCAGCAGTCGCAGCTATAAGAGTACTGTGTGCACTGTTACAGCATCAGCCGTACCTATAGTAGTAGTGTGTGCACTGTTCCAGCATCAGTCGCAGCTATAGTTTTACTGTGTGCACTCTTCCAGCATCAGCAGTCGCTTCAGAAGTACTGTGCTCCATAGTAGCAGCAGTAGCAGCAGCAGCAGCAGCAGCAGCAGCAGCAGCAGCAGCAGCAGCCGCAGCCGCCGCACTGCGGAGGTCACCAGGTTCGCGGCAGTCGCCAGGCAGCAACAGCAGCGTCGGCACAGTCAAGGTCTGCGGGTCGTCTTCTCCCGACACGCTCCAGCGCAGCGCTCATTATGAAGGTAACCAGAATTATTCTTTGAAAAATGTTAAGAGAACTTAATCCGTCAAGAATATTGACATGTACTTGTGCATTTTCTCAAAGTCGACTTTTGGAACTCGTTACTGCCCGAAATTTGTGTCCATGTTGAAATCACTTTGTAATAGTTTTAGCACATATATGTACTAGTTTTGAGTTCAATAATTACGTCTTTATGAAATCGACAACGGTCAATTGTACAACCTACGTCTATTGTACAACTTTATTGTACTATCCATAAATTCACGATCTGGCGGCTCACTTTCGATTGAATGTGAAAATTACAGCGTATATATTGTGTACACTCATGTTGCTGACATAGGCTATTTTTGCAGTGTTCACTCGTATTAATATGCATGATTAGAAGGTGGGAAAAAAGCGTGATATTGATAAAGAGTGCTATAATATACATGCAAGAAACACGAAGAAATAAAATGCTATAACTACGAAGAATTTTATTTTAATAAAGCTGGCTTCAGCCATGCTGGGCTTGAAATGCCTATAGTTGATTTGTTCATGGAAGCTATTTAGCATTGAAACGCAAGTGTCATGAAGTAAACATTTAAACAAAACGGCTTTTCAGACGACGAGTAAGCAATTAAAAACAGAAATTCAGGCGCTTCTATTGTTATTTTGGGTGCAAATATAAGCTTATATAGCCATTATTTTTAACTCCCTTCTTGACGAGCTGGATAAGTCAAGTTGCAACGGTGGAAACTGCAACGCAGAGAAGTAGCGAGCCATATTTGCCAAATGGGCTTGATGATTGTCATACTCTGGAAGGATATTATGGCTGTGGTTACAAACGCATTCATAAGTGTTTTATACATCTTAAGAGTTTTAAATGTATGAGTACCTTGTACGTCTTGAATTCACTATAAAATATGGCGTAAGTTGTATAAAACAACGTAAGTCATTTGCCGGTGTCATTTGTGTTGTCTTGTATATTTACGCATCATTGTATCAATGAGCTTGATCAAATTTAACTTTCATTACTGTGAAAGTGAAGAGAAGTTCAACTTTATTGGAATTCTATATTACTCAAATAAGAAGCAAGCAGGGTCGGTCATCTATTTTCACCTAAATGCCGCCTATTGTGCGGCACAATAAATATATAATCTATATTCATGCTTGTGCTAATGTTTGAAACTCGCCATGCGTGTGCTTGCGTACGTACGTGATTGAGGATGTGTGTGAATGTGCCTGTGGATGCTCATAAATGAATATTTGAATGATTCATATATCGAAGGAAAAAGATTCCGTATCACAGGTAAAAGACTCCTAGATAATGTAGCCTGAAGAAAACTTAGAATCTTCCTCTAGTTCAAGTATTCATCCTCAAGTGTAAGTAGTCATCTTTACGTCGTGTATCGTGTGAGAGTGAATACACAGAATGAATCGGCGGAGGCTCTGGCGGGCGGTGCCGCGGCCTCGTCTGCCTGGGCCTCAGGCCACGGCACGGACGATGAACCCGGCTGCCTCAGCGAGCCGAAGGCAGACTTCATACAACGGCTATATAAATGCCTTCGACGAGCCACATTGGCGGCACATTTCATATATATATGAATGCTGGATGCCACATTAGTAAATTTTTGGTAATTTTTTCAGAAATATATGATTATGAGAGAATCACTTAGGAAATATGCACTCGACAGTATGTTTCGTAAAGCAGGTGAGCTATCACACAATGTCCAGAAATACTTATAAGTTACCATAATGATAAGAGAGATGAAGTCAAAATAAGGTAAGATGAGAGCTTTTCATGCCACCTAGTATTGACGAAGCTGGGTTCGGATTTGAGAGAGTGACTCTTCACTCTCACTTCTGCCAGGCAGTGAGAGTGAGGAGGAGGAGAGAGAGTGGCGGAGCTACTGATGCAAGGTCAAGCTGGTTGAACAACCCGACACTCGCCTCTGGTCAAAACAAATGCCTTGCTCGTGTGCCACCCACGATGACATTGATTAGCTGCAAGCTACCGGGCTTGTCTGGGCCAAGAGTAGTACAAATTCTTGTCTACTTCCACTTCACGAAATATTTTGGCAATTTTAAATTGTGCATGAAATTATTTTACTGTGATTTTATATTTTAATTATAATTTCAGGTCCATCTGGTGGCTTGGGTCGTTTTTGGTGTATACGCCTCCGTTTGCACCGGGCAGTTCCCCTCACTGTTTAGACAAGGACGTTTGTTCAACTTCGGAGCCTGGTCTGGGAGACAAGGTCCTTTCTTGAAGCGACATCCTATCCCAATTCGGCTGTACCGAGTGTACCCGCAACAGTTTCCTCAGTACGTCTTGACTCAGCAAAGTGAAGCCCAACCTGCAACTGTTCCACAGTCTGAGCCAGTACGTAGCAGTTACCAAACAGTACCATACGTGTGTCCACCTAATGATTTTGAAGCCGTGAAAAGCCTCAAGCTGAATAGTGATCCCTTTCTCAGAGGCACCCTACCAGTTAACTCTGGAATTCACACTTTACCTCTAGAAAGGCCTTCACATGTTGCATCAAATGATGGAAATTCTTTTAAGAACTTAGGTTTGGGTACCAGGAACCAAGTTACACAAACTCAGCCATTAGCATCAGCAATCTTGCCGCCGGCGTTAGCTCTTTCTGTTGTTAAGGATTCCATTGTTGCTCATCAAGCTGTCCCAGTACAACAAAACACTTTCGTTCCGGCTGTAGCGGTCCCAAAAGATGGATCTGTTGTTGAGTCTGTCATTCCCGTTGATATGTACGGAGTTTCTTCATCAATTGCAGTGGAAAGTGGCACAGAAGAAACTGTTGATGCAGGAACTGGAAGTGAAGAAGTAATCACTGAGGGAAGTATTCAAATTGAAACAGGGATAGATGAAGAATCTGGTGTTACAACGATTGTGCCGCCTGGCGATGAAGCGACTCCGAGTTCGAGCGACAGTGCTTCGCAATCCCATTTTCAAGTATTTACACCTCAGATAACTGACTACATGACAATAAGAGTTCCAAACATATCACCTGGCATTGTAGAAGAAAATAAACAACAAGTAATACCTGTTTTTAGAGTTGGTACATTCGATTTCAGCACATCTGAAGATAAAGTAACTAAGCTATCTGCCTCAACCTCGACTACACAACAAGAAAAGAAAAGTCCAGAAGAAAATAGAAATGAAGACATTACTACAGCAATTGATGAGGGCCCAATATCACTCACTAGAAACGTATCAAACAATCACTTATCACAAGGAGATATCACTGTCATCAGGAAGATATATCCATCGAACTTTACGAGTAACGGTCCCAAATTGAACGCCACAGAAGTCAACAGGGTCCAATTCAATATTGCAGCGCTGGTTAGCTCGAACAATAAATTTAAACAAACCGAAGAAGTCATTGAGACAAAATCTACACCATCATTCTTGGGCGAAGTTACGAAGGAAAAAGAACAGGTAAAAGACACCTCGATAATTCAGCCTGAAGAAAACTTAGAATCTTCCTCTAGTTCTTTCAGCGAATCACTCGACGATTTGAAGATTCTTCCTGAGCCTCCTCGCCCTCTTTTGACACCGATTGCTAGTCGCACGTCACCAACTTTCCTAATACAACGACTCAAAGAAAAGTTTCCGCACAAGGCTGTGAAAGGGGATTTTGTGCTTCCCGTTGAAACGGCAGAAATCCTTTCTCAGGGCGAAGATGTCGTCTTGCCTCTGCAAGAGGCATTGCCAGATAACGTGGCTGTAATCGAGATTCCCGACTTGCCAGCCTTATTTATTCGTCCTAATAACGAGGAGAAAGAGGTCGAAAAAGAAAAACTACTTGTGTTCAGCGGAGGAATCGGGCAACTTCCTCTTGAAGAACTGACGGAAACTAAAGCTTCTGCCCAAGTCGTGGTTCCAACGCCAGAGAAGTCGGTGAGTTGGCAATTACTAGCTACCGGTCCGTGTTTTCAGGCATCAAAGGTTTTTCTTATTTCTTTTTAGAATGTAATTCCAGTAGGAAATTATTATAAACGAATATGAATAAGCGCATAAGATTTGGTCGCCTGAGTACCGTTTGAGCACCAAACGAAGAGTTAGAAATACTTGTCATTCGGATGCGTATCTTGTTTGAGGCTTTATGAAATACCACATTTATTAATTTGGCATAAACTTCATTCGACCCTCTCGAAGCATTTTGATTTCAAATTTTGGTCGGTAATTCATACCATCGATAAATAATGAGAAAATTTTAATATAATAGATATCTTTCACTTGATTAAGTCAAACGACAATATCCTTTTCCTAGTATTCTTGCGTTAATCATTAAACTCCTCTTTTCCAGTTGTTTAGGTAATATCCAATAAAAACGTAATAGGTAAATCTCACTGAAAGCATTTTGGCAGATAATGTCTCACTTTAATCTTCCTAATTTTTGGTTCTCAGCCCAGCACGGAAGAGCCGGGGCGAGGCTACCGTTTCAGCTACAGCGTGGAGGACGACCACTCGGGCTCCTCCTACAGCAGGTACGAGAAGAGCGACGGTGAGCTCACCCAGGGGCAGTACAGCGTCTTGCTCCCCGACGGACGCACGCAGGTGATTCCTGGCCAAATCTCACACAAAAAGTTCCTATCTTTGACGCTGATAACGAAAATCTAATATATTAGCGCATGTTCACTGATCGAAAACAGTCCATCTGGAAATGACCAAGTAATAATTTTTCGAGTTTTCCGATTATCTGGAGGGCAAATATTTCATGCAATTTTGCGTCGATATTGTCTGAATTTGATAGATTTAGATAAATTTAGAAATTCCTGGAATAATTCTGACCAATGTTATGGCTAAGAAATATTGTGCTGGTAAGGTATCGTTTTGTTATTAAAATGAAAACAACTATGAGAAATAAATCAATTCGACTAATAATGTAAACTTGTAAAATTTAGAATTAGATATGCCGGGAAATTTACCCTCTATCAATTTCTTAGCGAATTAAAAATGGTTTTTTATACGTTTTCATGCACAAATGCAGCACAAACATTAAGCAGATCTAATTACAATAGGCTCCGATGCCTTCAAATTAAGGTCTCGTGTTGTGGAGTAAATACGCATCACTATGACAGTTTAATCCAAAGAAAAAACTTGTTGAATACCTAATTTAAAATGAATTTTTAATTGCCGTGCTGCTAATCTCACTTTCAATTTCGTATAAAAATGATCTAAAATTCATAATGAATGAAGTAATTTATGCTTTTTTTCCCTACAGATTGTAAAATTCTACGATGATGGACTGGGATACCACGCAGACGTCCACTACGTCTGAGGTCCTTGGACACTCACTACGTCGGTGACCACTGGAAGTCCCTTGCGTCTCAGACCACTGGACGTCCATGCTGTACTTATTCTACAGCTTTTGCAACCTTTGCCGTTATCATCTCACTAATGGAAGATGTTAACTACTTCGCCTGGACTTCTGAATAAAAGTTTTGTCGTTTTCGTTGGTTGTTTTCTATACACTTGTACCTAAAATCAATATACCACGCAGACGTCCACTACGTCTGAGGTCCTTGGACACTCACTACGTCGGTGACCAGTGGAAGTCCCTTGCGTCTCAAGACCACTGAACGTCCATGCTGTATCTCAGACCACTGAACGTCCATGCTGTATCTCAGACCACTGGACGTCTCCTACGTCTGAGGTCCTTGAAAGAACGCCACAAAAGAGGGCATTCAGGGATTAGTTCTTTAACTCACAATATTTCTCACTATCATTAAGTTATCAATAAACGTTCCCCCAGAGCCTCAGTGAGCGCACCACAGACCATACTTGTGTTTGTTCACATGTGCCAGGTAGGCGGAGGTGTCAATAGGAAAATCTTAATGCTTAGGATAACAGACAACTGTTTACGTTTCATGGTTTGACTTATTTTATGGATCAGGCAGGAATAGCACTAAGAATGTAAAAGTATGAAATTGTTCCAAGAGCAATAGATGGCCTAAACCGTTTAATTGATACATAATGACACACAAGTATTACATGTTATTATATAGAGGTATTAGCTTTATTAGGCCGTTAGATCTGCCACCGATTATTATTATCACAGAACATTCACAGCTTGCTGCGGTCTTGAACAAGCAATTCACTGCTCTAATTTTTGCTGTGCTTAACCGCCCGGCCTCCTTGCCTTGCCAGTTCTGAGCTGAACTGTCGTACATCGAACCCACACCTCTCTGCTCCATTCCTTGTCCTCTGAACTATAATCGCAGGGTCCCCCGAAATTCTCCCAAACCTGGAAAGTTTTTCACTTTGAAACGGCAAAATTTCACGAGCGTCAGTTCAGCTGTTTCTGTGACTCACTTCTTAACTGCGCAGCTATAGTGGCTTCATTAATATCATAAATGTCAGTGTGGCCGTTCCAAAATTAGGTTCTCCAATTTCTAGAGGAGTCAGTTAATCCGTTTCAAAATTGTATTTTCGGTAATAAATGGTATAATTCAGAATCAGTTGTATGTTCAAATGTTGTTCAAATAAATGATGTTGTAGATTAAACTTTGAAATTCCCCCAAATCTACAAATTATTTACCCTAGAACGACAATAATGCTGTTCATAAGTGTCATTCCAGCCTCTTCTGAGATAGAAATTGTATGAATAAATTTCTACATGTAACTGGACAAATTCTCCCAACCCTATAAATTTATTCACTTTAAAACGGCAAATATGTAGTTCAAATATCACTAGTATCAGTTCAGCCGATTCTGAAGTAGAATTTGTATAAATAATTTTTTAAATTTAACTTCAAAACTCTCCTATTCCTAGAAATGTGTTAACTTTAAAACGGCAAAAATGCCGTTAAAATTTCATTAAATTCCGTTTGGCAGTTTCTAAATAGATTTAGTACAAATAACTTCTTAAAATCATCTTGAAAATTTCCAAACCTCGGAATTTATATACTTTGAAACGGCAAAAATGTTTTTCAAATTTCACGAGTGTCAGTTCAGCCGTTTCTGAAATAGAATTAGAATAGATAACTTTTCAAATTCAACTTTAAAATTCTCCGAAACTTTATTTATTCACTTTAAACGGTAAAAATGCAGTTCAAATTTTCCGAGTGTCAATTCAGCCATTTTTGAAATATAGTTAGCATAAATAACTTTATAACTTCAACTTCAGCCGTCTCACTTCAGCCGGTTTGTTAATGCATTTTCCGGTTAAAACTTAAATGATTCAACACCAAATATTGCCTGACACGAGGATTTCATTCTTTTTTAACTGCGCAGTGGCAGCACAAATTTTTTAGATATTAGTTCACCCGTTTCAGAATTTGTGTTTTTCGTTGATAACTACAATGATGCAACACAAAATTTCACCTATAACAGAAGGAATTCATTCTATTCCTATTTGCGCTGTGGTTACATCAATAGCATTAATGTCAGTTCGGCCGTTCCGAAATTACTTTCTCCAATTTTAGTACGAGTCAGTTCAGCCATTTTAAAACTGCATCTTTGAGCATACCTTTCATGATTCATCAACAGTTGTATGTTCAAATGCTGTTCATATAAGGGACTTATTAGCTTTAACTTTGAAATTTCCACAAACTTTTAAATTTATTCAGTTCAAGACGGCAAAAATGGGTTTTAAATTTCATGAGTGCCAGAACAGTCGTTTGATTCAACTTCGTCATCGCTAAACCCTTTGTTTACGGACATATTATCAACGCTGCTATTATTGTCTCGCTGCAACAATCTGCCTGAATTGATCCTTGCCTCGCTGCAACAATCTGCCTGAATCTGAACCCGTTTCGCTGCAACGATCTGCCTGAATCGGTCCTTGTCACGCTGCAACGATCTGTCTTGATCGGTCCTTGTCTCGCTGCAAGCAATCTGTTTAAATTGGTACCCGTATCGCTGCAACAATCTGTCGGAATCAAGCCTTGTCTCGCTGCAACAATCTGCCTGAATCTGGACCCGTCTCGCTGCAACAATGTCTAAATCGGTACCCGTCTCGCTGCAACGATCTGTCCGAATCGGTCCAAGTCTCGCGGGCACTTCTCTCCGAAGCGGTCCTTGTCACACCGCCAAGTTGATGCACGAAGTTGCGACACCTCATCAAGTGGAGCTTGAACTTAAAATGGCCATCGTTGAGCCTTCAACAAAGTTAAAAAGTTAGTTAGTCAACTCATCACGGGCGTCTCAAGCCATTTCACTTGTTCAGGAAATGAAGTAAAAACTTAGCTGTCGAGTTTTACGTTTTTTTTTTTTTAATTTTCAGTTTTGTGGTAAATGTCGATCACTGAGTCCGCCATCATAAAGTGAAACTTAGAACTCAAGTATTGGAATTAAACGTCAATTCGTACATGTATGATTAATCTATAGAATAATTTCGAATAAAATTAATATTTCATAGAATTCGAAGGACTGCGGAGCTCTACAATTTGTGAGAACCCGGGCAAAATTTGCCGGGTAATATTACTCTAGGGAAAAAATATCCTCGTCTGAGGATACTTTTCACAATTCGTTTGTCTCCTCTATGGTCAAGACATTTTGATATCCAGTCCCCAGTCAAAATAAATTTTCCATACGCACATTTTTAGTAATCAGCCGTAAGAACATATTTAATAATATGCAAAGGTCCAATATCTGAATATTTATTTTTCGATCTCTTCCTAATTTTTGTTTTGTTTTCAATTTAAAGGCAAATTAATGAATATGGAGAAAGTTGTTTTTGAGTGTTGCTTGAATCCACTCTAAATGAATAAGGGAAACTCTCACTCCACCACTCTCAAAATAAGGGAAACGCCTAACATTTTGACTTCATAATTTTAGAACACGTTTTAAACAATAAAAATCTGACATATTTTTATGTTTCACTTCTTATTATCGTTGCTAAATGAAATTCCAGACTTTTGCAGCTATTTTTGAAAAGAAATGGCAATTATTACCTCATGAAATTGGCAAACCTCTCTGAATTTCAAAGTGGCCAAATTGTTGTGCCCGTATGGCGGGTGCTAGTGTGATAGAAATTTCTCGAACATTTAACGTATGTAATGACTGCTTTTGAAAGAGAAGGAAAAAAGTCCTCTTCAAAGCACTGGTGCTGCTGAAAGTTGTGGTTATCTGAGAGAGGCCTTCGGTCTTTAAATAAAATTTTGTGAAAAAGGCGGAAGATCATTGCTGTGAAAATTACAGCATACCATAATGGACACCTACAGAACCCAGTTTTCGTAAAAACTGTTTGTCGGGAGCTGCAAATATCAGAATTCTATAGAAAAGCTGCCAATTAGAAAACCTCTGGTTTCAACTACAAATGCTACAAAACGTTAAGAGTGATTTAAAAATATCCAGAATTTGTCCCTTGAGCAGTGAAAAAATGTGATGTTCTCTGATGAATCATCGTTTACCTTATTGCCGATATCTGACCGAGTATAGGTTGGGAGAGGGTCAAAAAAAGGCCGAAAGATGGTTGAACTGGGGTTAAACTGAATGAAGAGGGTGTATAAGAGGGTTTAATTTAAAAATATGGCTAAATTTGTGTGAAAATAATTCGCAATTTGTAAAACTCAATACCTGGGAGAATTGAGGTTGTAATTGTCGCATAAGGTGGACCTTCTCCATACTAAAATGAACTTTGCGTATTTTTAAGGTATTATCTTTACTTTGTCCAACCCCTGTATTTCATGAAGATTGAAAATGCGTATACTTAGATATTTTAGTGTATTATAATGATTTCTTCTTTAATTTATAAGATTTTAATTACAAATAATTTTTCTGCACTTTATTGAAAAAAAAAATTGAAAGCCGAAAATTTACATTCACAGATGTTCGTGAAGAACATCATCATGTGTCATATTAATTATTAGTGTTTTAGTGGTCAATTTGATGCGCTAATTTTCTTTTATCATTGACGTCGCAGACAATTAAGTCCTTATATTTATTATGAACTATATGCAGTTGGGTAATTTTTTTGCAAAATGAGGTCATTTTCTTGCCCCATCACTGACGGCGTAAACAATTAAGTCCTGATATTAATTATGAACTATATGCAATTGGGTCATTTTTTTGCAAAATGAGGTCATTTTCTTGCCCCATCACTGACGGCGTAAACAAGTAAGTCCTGATATTAATTATGAACTATATGCAATTGGGTCATTTTTTTTGCAAAATGAGGTCATTTTCTTCCCCCATCACTGACGTCGTAAACAATTAAGTCCTGATATTAATTAAATGGCAGGAAAGTTGCCACACAGACGGACATCTGGCGGCCATTTATCAGGGAGAGCAACTTAGTCAATTATTCCGGACATCTTCTTAGGAACTTGCGCGTTACCTAACTCTTCACTGAGAAAAATGGGCGGGTCATCCTGTACAAATAGTGATACACTTTCTGCACGTAGCAATGATACGCTCCTTATCCGGGCTAAACTGAACCAGGATGACAAATGTATTAACAGAAATTAAATCGATATTCGGACTGTCTCACTTATTTTACGGAGTGTTTATTATCAACCTATACCGCACAGTGTAATGTTATTCCGTGTAATGTAATAACAATGTTAAAACAAAATATAAATTTAACAGTGTAATGCTATACGTAAATTGATATTTTACCAGTAATATAAAATAAGGATATACCAATAGAGTTCTACGTGAACCT